ATATATATCTACTTTATTACTATTAATATATGAATATTTTTTATCCCTATATATTAAAGAAGTTGAACTCAGCTCAGTTGGTAGCCTCCTTCATGCGTGGGAGGGAGGTTTGAATCCCACCCTTGATAGAGTAAGGGTCTGTTTGGGGCAGCTGCAGCATGGCTGCATTAGGAAGCTGCTACATGGAAGCTGACTAGTCGTTTGTTATAGTTGTCTGAAAACAGCTGTGTGGGAGCTATTTCTGGACAAATGATTATTCAGCCCCTGTTTAGTAATGTTGTTTGTAACAGAATTGTTCTAACCATATATTAGATAATTCAGAAGCAAAAAAATCACTTCATAATGGTACAAAAATTCAAATAAACATCTCACGTAATAGTGAGTATCAAGTATGCTACAAAAAAGAAAAAAACTATCAAAATTACAATTAGTAATATGACAATATTGATTTATAATGCAAACGACGCACAATACGAGCTATACCGTCCTCCAGAGATGCTATCCAGTCTCGATCACTGTCAGCAGTAGAATCTACTAATCTGTCTGCCCAATGAAAGAACTCACATTTCTCCATACCGTCTGCTGAGCGTTGACACATGTAGAACTTTTTCCCGTAGCTATGCACTTGACGTGACGTAAGCACGGAAGTCTGGAGTCTGCATTAGCAAAGCAATCGTCTGAAAGTCCTTGAAATCCTTAAGCTCATCCTTCCTGAATGCTACAAAAGACAATCCATTACTCATAACAAAAGTTAAAATTGTTAAAAGAAGTATAAATTATAGTTTTAAGCAAGTATGAGGTCTCAGAGAACTCAGTATACTAACCACTGAATCTGTCACTACAAGAATACAACGAACCTTATGGAAAAAGGATTCTTGGTTGTCTTTAACCTATGTAATAGAAAGCTTGAGCCAATCACATATGCATATCACCAAAAAAGCAATCCAAAATACCATCTAAAATCATATCGCTAAAAAGAAGAGAAGAATTCAATTGCCTTCATTAGAATTTCACATGTTATAACAACCAACAACAACCAATATGTCATCTGAAGAACCCTTAAGGTCAAATGTTTTATCATCGACCCCTCAAATCAAAAAAAAAAAAACAAGTGAAATTTAAATAGCTGAAACAATCTTTATGAACTATACAAGGAAATAAAAATAGATAGAAACTTAAGAAAAATAATGCTGAATAAAGTACAAATAATAGAACAATAAATAGTCCAATCACCCTCCTACAATCGCATCAGTAATGTGTTCCCTCAACCCCGCCTTCTCGCTTGCACCTTCCCCGTTTTCAGTACAAGTGGTGGAAGCATCAATCTCATGTTGTGGCAAAGAATGTCCAAGACGGTACTTAAATGTTTCGGCAGGTACACGCTCCTGATCATCGTACGCCCGATAGAAGTTGATATCGTTGTGGGAAGGATGATGCCAAATGTAATTGTGGAGCTTCATCATGGTAATCACAATCTAAACATGTTTAGGAAATGGGTAAGATGACATATCGCGCATGATAACCCATTTTTCTTTGAAACACTGAAAGTTTTCTTAATAACACCACGTAACAAGGAATGTCTTTTTCTGAATATTTTTTTCTGCCTCGTGTCACCTTGCTTGCCTGCTCAAAGTCTGATATGTGATATCGTGTATCCAGATAGGGCTTGAGATACCTGCGCTGCAACGGATATCCACATCGACCAAGTAGTATTTACCTAATATGAATTGGATAATTAATACTGAGGTAGAAGTAAAATATGAGAGTATTCGAGTCTCAAGCATACCTGCAGGAGGATGTGGGATGTTGTAAGTGGCATTCCACGTCGCAGCTTTGAAAAATCTACTGTCATGTGCACTGCCCTCCCAACCAGTCATAACAAAAGTGAAACATATATTGAAGTCACAAACAACCATGACATTCTTTGTCGGGCTCCCACAACGGCCGATGAATGCAACCTTCGAAATATTTGGCACACGTGCGTCAACTCCTTCAATTGCTCCAATATAATCCTGATAACATAAGATTGAGTTCGTAATAATGTTATTTTATTTAAATTTAAATGTTTATAAATTGAGACACCACTTTAAAGAACTTCATGTATCATGCATCTCGTGAAATCTCTGTAGGGGTCCGTTCGAATGTAGGATCGATAGGCTTGATGACATGTAAAAAAAACTCACAAGCGCCTTCAACCCCACCGAGAAGTACCTGCAAATTTTTTTGAAGGAGTGTTGAAATCCCCGATGTTCCCTTCCCCGCATTGATTCATTCTGGGACAGTATGTAGAGGGTTATGACCAACACCTCTCGCATAGTCGTCGTGGAAGAGACATGAAGTCCATGAGATCTGTGTAATTCCTCAAATATATTAATGAATATTGTCTGTCTCATGCAGAAAATATTGTTAAATCTTGTTGGGTGGCTATCAAGCAACTCCCCAACTCATTTGTCCCCAACATATGAGGATGTCATGTAAGGAGACCTATCAATGTACGAGTTTTAATATTCATAGATCAGGCACACAACAGCTGCAAATCTAACTCTGGGCCTTCTTTCATTTGGATCCATATAGATCAATATTGCATTGTCTAACACAGAAACATCAACGAATTAGCTACCACCATATAAGAATACAAACATAATGAAAAAAATTTAAGATGCACGGAATAAGTGAAGTTCAAAGCATTGAAATATACAAATCATTAGGAAAATAATACACAAATAATATTGTCCCAAGTGACGGTAAATAAAAAAAAGTCTCTCGAAGGGTTCTACAG